ATTTTTAAAAGATAGTATGGGCGTCTTAAGCGTGTACATTTAGAAAAGAAATCTGATCGATGAAGATATTAAGTACATGGCACTTAATGGCCTGCTTGTATGACATGCTTCATTAATTCTTCACTCCATTCTACGGATGGGATTTTCTGATTAAGTTACGACCGGCGTTATTCCCCGCGGGTAAGCCCCCGGTTGTCAGATCGTTTGAGGATGACTTTTACACGAGGTTGTCAATCAAGGCATGTCAAATCGTGAATTTCAATAGGTGGCAATGTGGTTATGCTGAGGTCACATTTCCAAGCCGGGGCCCGGCCGGGCTGTTTTCGTGAAGGAAAAATGAACAATCTGTATCAAGAATATGTATAGGTAGTGCTCATAATCAGTTGTTCTAAACTTTTTGTGTTTTGTTGTCTTTCATGCCATACTTTTCATTCCCAGAAACTGCATCGTCGGGCCCTGGCTTGGAAATGTGACCGTATAATAACCAGTTGTTGAATCTAAACTTCGAATCACGAACAGGCCCAAATGCTGTGCCTTTTGGAAGGTCTAATTTCTCACTCAGATGCAAATGAGTAGCTAGTTTCTGTTATCATCTTGAATGGGACTAAATGGTTCAGTGTGCGAGGAGAGCCACACCTCTAGCACGTTAAAGATCCCACAACCGAGTATGGGTCCTCCCCGGTATGAGTGGTTTAAACCTTACCTAAAAGGAGTGGCCAATCTACCCCAAAACATAAACGTGATAAATAGCAACTTACAATCATGCTTCATGATACGGATAAGCTTTCTCTGAAACCTAGAATGGAACAGAGAAGTTCCATGGATCCCTTTTATCATTGCTACATAAAGCTCGAGGTTGAATATCTATCTTATTCCCTCTCCCTAATTAGGTTTCTTCACATTTTTCAAAGCTGGTAATTTTCCGGCTCAACAACTCTGAAGGGGTGGCATTCAGAAATAAAAAAAGTATTATCCATAAATACCACCGGCACCATCGAGAGATTTGACATTGGAAGCAAAGGACATATCCGTATATAAGAATCATAATTTTAGATGCAAAGAATCAATTGAGTTTTATTTTTAGGGTGTCTTTATCGTTGGGCTAGGAGAGAAGTGTGTTATTTCTCACTAAGTGAACATGTAAGAGTCACATTACACGAAATTCGTGTCATCATGCCGGTAGGAAGCTACAGTAAGTGCACATGCAACGCGCTTGAGCATGCTGCTACAGATAATAATAGATATTCAAAGGTGGTTGTTTCGCAAATGCAGCTTTTTTTGCTGTTCGACTTTGCGGCGTCTCATGTTAACTTGTCGTACTTAAAGTAGTAGTTTGTTTAAACTTTTGTAGTTTGCTTGATATTTGACATATCTAACATATACTTACAGGAAACTATTTAAAGATAAAATGATACTATGCCTGGCAGAACTTCACTGTATTATTCACCGTATTTCCTGAAGTTACTTGGTAAAACTAAGGTCGAACATTCGTCCCATGACAAAAGAGAACTGATGTAGACCTTCATGAAATGAAAATTTACCGTTGTACAAAATGATCTACAACCATATATTACAACAGTATTGTGAGAGTTAGGTAACGACTTCTCTTACCTATTCGTATTCTCCTCGCCACCGCTTCGGTAGGTTGATGAGTCACCCACATCAGATAACTCAAGAGGAGAAACGTCCCTACTTTTCGCAGGCCCAGGGATCGCACAGTTTCGGCTGCCATGGTCTATGCCTAGCTGTAGGATTCTCGATCTCCAACGGCTTTGCTCCAGTCAGTAAAAATATAAGCAGTTTTTTGACGCCATTGTCTCTGCCCGCCCGTTTGGAGTGTTCTGCATGCCTTTCGGAGTATGCAACGCACCAGCAACGTTTCAGCCAATTAAAACGTAACCATCCACAGTTCAGGCGAGAAAAGAGTGAACCATCTGGCCTTTTCGTCTTGCTTGTTTGCTCCCAGAGCAGTAATTACATTACTAATCACCTGTGGGAGCAGTAGCGAGATCCTGTCTCTACGATTCCATGAAGCATTTCTCAATAAACGCGTCCAATTTGCGGAATACGCCGCGTCTTCTGTTGATGTTTCACTTTGATGAAGAACCCGGTGAAATCTCTATCAGGAACTTTGATCTTCGAAGCTCTAACGTACTTTTCCAGTCTCACTCCTAAAATTCTTCCGATAAAAATCTTTCGTCTATCTTGTGAATAATCCGATATTTTTCCCAGGAAAAATACTTGCCTGGTGCACAAGTTGGATCCAGATGTTGGTAGTGGTTTCAGGCTGAATGAGGATGATCATTCGTGTATCAGGCGCTTCGCCTCTCACCTAACGCCCAGTGAAGGTCCGAAAAGGTAGCTCCGACTGTAGAGATATTGATTTTTCTTACCCTATGAATACATATTTAATGCATGCTACGTTCTCTCTCTGAAGTTCTAGGAAGCTCCTCCCCTTACCCAAATACATCATTACATTCATATGCATGTTGTCATGCCAGAAGCTACTTTTCTTAAGAAAACGACACTTTCATTTTCATAAGACCTCCGGGATGTTACTTTTGTGTTAGATCGCAGAAGCAAGAGATAAACATTGAGTAATTCGTGACATAATTATATTCATGGAATGGCCTGAAAAATGTTAGGAACAGTTTCTATAACGTCACTGTTTTCAAATATTCGGTGAAGCTGAGTTTCTATTAATGCATATGTGAAAGATACAAAGCAGGACATTTCTATTCTGCAGACGCTGGAATAATGCTTTAAGGCCATCCATCGTGAGCGTCAATTTGTTGCTAGAGTTTTATCTATCAGAAGCATACATGTTGTATTACAATATGCATAGAAACTTTTACAAAATTACATGGACTTCTCTTTTACATTTTTTAAAAACTTTGACCTAATTGTCTGTGCCCTCAACGTGTCTAGCATGTGGACATAGGTACAAACAGACGTACAATGAATATAAAACATCGTTACTATATGACATGACATCAAAATCCAAGATAGCGGCGGCCAACAGTTGTAACAGAAACGTGCTATATCACATCTAGTGGTTTTACCCCCAAAAATCTGCTTGGAGACTGGGCGCCGCTACCTGTCTGCCCTGTGCCATAATTCCCAGTCTCGCCTGATAGTTACCCCCTGACAACATACATCCTCCTCTCAGTTAGTCACCATGTTTGAGGCTAACACTGTTGGATCCCAGCAGTTTAGCTGTGAGGCCGGGTAATGCAGGAGCGATCACACTCTAAAAGCATCGTACACTTTAGAGTCTTAGTGTAGGAACCTGCGATATTGAGTGGACAGATGTCTTAAGTTGGCCGTCAATAACACGAAAAACATGCCGTATCCAGTTTGAATTTGTGATAATAAAGTTGTGGTTGTATATACTTGTAGTGTCCTGAGTTGCCCCCTAAAACCCCTTGGAAATATATGCTGTTTTACCGTCTATTGGGATTCGGTGATCCACACGTAACCTCGCGAGAACACGCGTGATTTACAAATGTTGGCTATTACGTTTGGCGTCCATAAGCGAGGTCGTGGGGAGAGATTTATGTTCGATTCGTATCCCTTTAGCAGCACCATTATTCTCGTTTGCACTGTGAGCTTCTACCTCACTTTTGAAAATATGTTACTTTTGTCTGTCTGGTTTTCACGTTTTATACATGCCAATAGGCCTTCCAGTGTTAGATATATGAAAATAGGAAAGTTAGGATAAAAGTTTATCTGTGTTGTTATACGACGTAATGGAAAAAGGGTTTAACTGTTTTAACTTAAAGATTGCGCAGTAACGGATCAACGGTAGTTGTAGTCTGTAGTGGCCCCCGTCCCGTCTCAAAGAAAGTTGATGGGTTTGGATAAGCTTCCTTTAACTTTCTCGGGAAATAATCTTCTTCATATCTCCCTAGATTAAAAAAAAATGAAGTTAGACATTGATCAAACAAATGGAAAGAAAGGCTCTTAACTGAAGTTAATAAAGATAATTTAAATGCTGTTTGTAGGTTGTAGGTGTACTCCAAGTTTCCCCTTCGTCTTTTGTTTAAAATTTCAACTGCAGCCATTCAGACACAGAGTCTCCAACAACAGATGCTGTTGCCAAGAAATCTTAGTCCAGTTTAAAATTTAAACCCCCTTGGCTATGGAGTTTCATTTATTATTTAGAAAAGTAAAGTGAGTGGGGGGTTATGCAACCTTTGGCTGTCACATTGTTTCTTTGTCATCCGCTACGTAAACGATCTCCATATGTCTCTGTCGTTCAAGTTCAGGACTAAGTGACGGGAGTTGAAGTTTTCAAAAGCCGAACGGTTGATTTTAACCTACGGTAAAAGTAAAGTGGTCGAGATTTTGGTCGACCCTATGACCCCTTTTTTCGCTCGCTAGAACATACAGTTGTGCAGTACGACTTCAGTATGGTATCTAAACCGATTATAGCTCTTTCTGTGGCTCCAATATTTGAGGACGAAAGAGACTCGGCAGCTATAATAGGTTTGGACACTAGGGGTAATTCAGCCTGGCAATTGCCGGCGCTTTTAGCCGAGCACACCGGGTCACCCCTACTCTTTTTGTTACGTGCAGAGATTTTGAACTACAAATGCATGGGGCCATCGGCTTTACCTCACCATCCGAAATGGCAAATAACCCGATCGGGATTTGAACCTACGCCCTCTTGGTTTACGGTATTTGTTCCATATGGTTATAGATATTAGTAAAGTTCCATTTCAGGTTAGTATAGAAATAAGGAAATAGACCAAACAAGTGCTATCAGTTTTAATGGAAGTGTGGAAACCTGTCAGTTTAGATGGTTAATATTGGATTTCTTTTCGAGTCCCCATGTCTGGCTTAAGGGTGTATCATTAGCGCCACACAGCGATCCCAACCTGAAATGTATTCATTTTAGTAATTCAATTACATGAAATATTATCTATATGTGGCTGAATTTGCTTGCTGGATCCAGGGAGAATTATTTTAGTACCGAAGACGACTTTGATTTGTTGTTCTCAGACCTAAGAATTATTTACATCTCCACTATGAGAAAATTACTAATGGCATATAATGTAAAATGTATAATGCAAAAATAGCAAATAAATGAAATAATCGTGCATATGATATGACAAGAATACAAATAGTAATAATGACGATGAAGATTAGCAATAGCAAAGTGTAATCATGGTATTTTATAAAAAGAAATAACCGTAATTACAAGAGCCCACTAAATCCCGTGATTAGTTCGTGCAGGATAGAAGCTTCAAAACACAGGATGTCAGTATATGCAATCCAGTTTCACCGTTGATTTCAAAAACATCGGTAACCAGTAATTATTTCCACGAAAACAGGAAGACGTCGCCACTGTGATAATCGTTTCATGATGATGTTGTGTACGTTCTATACTATAATATCATTTGCAATATCTTTATACTGTGCTACGATATGAAATTAATTAAAAAAACATGTGGTTAGCTGCCTAAGCGCATTGTCTGGGTGTAGTCTTCAAAGCTGATTACATGGCAGCTCTAATCGTTGAGACGTTCTGAAGGCTTCCTCTTTCAACAAAATTGGTCGGCAGTAGTTACAAAGCTTCCCGCCATCACTAGAGGAAGACATTAAAGAAACGCCGGTAGTGTAGCATAGAGGACATCCGGCGTGTAAAAGCTTTAACAACGTGCTATTTGTTGGCTTGATGCGTCACAAGACATTAAAGGCATCCAGTGCAGTTCTTAGGGCTTGGAAATAAGATTTTTCAAAGTCAATATTCTAGTCACTTATCTTCATATTAAGTTGAAACAACACACCATCCCAATGTATATCGACATTCATGGAGCAAAACTACCCGAAATTCTGACGAAAAATGGTAACTGGAAGGACATAGATTGATTTTTAGGGTACCACCCAGAAAATAAAAGGCTCATCATTTGGCTTGTTTCTGCAACTTCAAATGCCTAAAGTATGAATACTGATTCAAATGTGCTAAGGTGGGACAGTATAGTGTTTGTGTCAATATCATACAGACTGCCTTATTCAGAATATTTCCAGTTTTGCCGCCCCGAAGTTGCATTGGGTGTCTTTAATGTAGCTGTACGATACACGTTCGAGTGTCCATTGAATATCCTCACCTTTGAGATTCAGTCGCACGACTAAAATATACGTTGTTTGGCGTGGATGGGGCAGCGAAACCTATCATCAGTTACCATGGCTACGAAGTAAACATTGCCATAAAAAGAACTACCTTGTAACAGGAGGACAAACGGTTTATTGGTTGCCATGGTTATGGCATAAACATTATCATCTTAAAACTCCCCAGTACGAATTATCTTAGATACAATTCATCCATCTACATATATCTAGAGAGGGGGGGGAGAATAGCAATTTCTAATCTTATCTACAAGTAAATTTAGATATTTCGAGGACATCGTTGACATATGGTAGCATTCAAGCCGATTCTACAGTTACCATTTATTCCTAACTATATGCACGATATTGCAGCTCAATGGCTTTTTTTCTTTCAACTACGTACATTGGTCTGCATAAATAAAGACATTTCAGTCAACATCAAAGGAAACAAAAATGCTGACAACAGTTTTTAGAGCTCAGCTGATACTCTTAACACGTCAGCCTCACTAAAGACAGGAAATGCAGTCGTTTGAAGCAGCATTTCAACCGACGGCCAATTATTTGAGGGTGGTTACACGAATTGGACACTAATTGGCCGCAATTGAATTAATGGCAGCTCAGATTTTACATCCATTCTAAGGGGTCGCTGACCGTCACGTATTTTCGCCAGCGTGGAGTCAGGAAAGTTGTATTCCTAATCATGTAACAGCACACCAGCCACTCAGAGACTGTGTCCCACTTGTAATGAGAGTATTGAAGATGCATTTCATTTTGTTATGACTTGTCCCACATATAGTAAAGAAGATACATTGTTACAGACTATTACCACTAAGACAAAGTTCACCCAATCTGGTACACAGTACGATACATTCCATAAATTCTTATCATGTCCAACTACCATATCTGCTTACGTAGGCCACTGTACACTTTATTTCATAAGCGAGACCATATCATCAATACATGAACATATTGTAACTCATATACTGTATAAATAGTAGTTTGTAGTACGAAATGTACTAATAAGATAGTTTAGTTTTGTAGTATTGTTGTATTACTGCCACACATTGTACCATGTACGATTGTCGAGCAATAAAGTTCATTCATTGTAACACCGTTTAAGACCTGCTAAAGATTCGTGCCTGGAATATTAAGAATCCAGGTTAAGTGCCCTAACCACAAGGCTAACGGATCGCACATGCTTATTTTTGCGGCCTTTGATTCAAGGAGTTCCAGGAACAGATCGTGACGGTGCCGAATTTCCAGGAAGATTGTTACCCTGGCCAGCCGTATGCCAGCTGGCATCGTTTGAAACAAGTTATTGAAAACTGTAAAAAGAAGTGGAACATGGAATCATAGAAAGATGAAGTCATGACAAAATGCATTGTTCAATCTTATCGTGGATTTTCATTATAATTATGTTTACCTTCGCGCAAGGAAAACATATTGTTTTTGCTCTGCCTCCTTTTCTTCTCCAAACAAATAAGGTCAATGACCTGAACCAGACGTAGTATAGTACATACCACCGTATATATGCATACCGTATTTTTATTGTATTTGAGTAAAAATTAATAGAGCAGACCATATGCGAAGATAAACATTGTGCATTTGCTTTGCAAACGTTACCTTCCTAGTTATACAGCTAGTTCTGTGGTCACTGACCTGTCTACCTAATTAGGTTATCTATATAATTTTTGTCACAAGACACTAGCCTTCGGGCATGGATTGGACTGAATATTTATCATTAAGAATAGATTGACGTCAACCTTTCAATTGCCAACTGATATCCAGGAAAGGAAAGTGATAAGCATTCGTCAGCTTGAATTAATGCCCTAGATTCTTCGGCTGACTTGTACTGTTACCAGGGGCAGACGGTGTGCTAAATGTCAGGGTTGAAAAAAGTTTTAGATGGTCCATTCATCTTATAAAGGTGGGTTGTGAGAAACATTTTTATTAACTTAAGTTCATTTAAGTGTTCTTGAACATTAAACTTATCTTCTATTTGTACGAGTAGCAAATATAGCATTTGTCGATTGAAAAACAAGAACGATGCAAGAAAAGAGAGGGGTTAAAAAGGAAGGCACACCCCTATGCGGTTTTGCAATAGAATAACCATTGCGTAAATCAGGCAGCGGCACGCTAGGTGACATTACAAGCAATCTCTCAAGGACGGTCTTGTGCAAGCGTTCAAGCTCTCATCGTCTCTACGAAGCCTTTCACTCTATTTCCAATGCCTAACTAGTTTGAGGGGTGCTGGAAGAGTGATCTAGTTAGGCTAGGCAATCAGTATTGTCGGAGATATCACAGAAAGGCTACATTTGGTAAGTAAGTGAAATTATAGTTTTCAATCCAAATTTTATCAAATTTCTTACCAATGGGTTTCACTATCTGACGAGGAAAGTCATATATACACGTTAACGTTTTTGTTCTTAGTCAGAGAATGCAGTGTGTTTCATCTTAAACGTTGGTTTCGTTGCGGAAAATTGTAATATTATGGGCAATAATTTACATAAATACATGCCGAAATGCTTATTGCAAATACATTTAACATTGACACAATGGTGATAATTGTGATAATAACAATATTAGATGGGAAATTTGTGTTCATGTTCTTGATTCTTACTTCAATTGGAAGCATGCAAATCTTTTGGCCCTTTTCTCATTATCAATCAGCTTTTGCTTAATGATAGACTACTTCATCCTGTGACGTATAATCTGTAATCCTTATTATAAAATGCAACAAAGCCTACCGAAATAGGTTAATTCACTCCCAATAAAACGGTAGGCTTATTTGGGTTTTTCGTTTCATCATTAGACTGATAAATCAGTGTGCGTTCTTTTGTTGGAGCCATATTTTCCGTTCTTTTGTACATCTATGTCCAGTTGTGGGCGGAAGTCTTTCCAAAAGCCGTTGAAGAATTAAAATCAGTTCTCAGTCTATCAGCAAGGAGGAAATCGCATAATTCCCTTTCATGGCAGCTGAGACAGTCACGACGTGCTTTCTAAAAATGTCTTCAGCACGTGGGGATCTGTAATGTGCCTATCTGGGGGGTTACTGATGCTGCATTAGAATTGGCGTTTGATACACAATGTTACAAACACACCCTAAAGACACTGAGACTAGTACAGATCCTTAGATCTGCTTTGAGGTTAGGAAAATCCTCTTTAACAGCTTTTATGTGTCTTGTGCGTAGAGGTTACGTGTTAGCGGCATTCATATATTAAGAACATTTCAAAAAAACATTGATTTTAATGCGTTGCTCCTCCAGCATTCTAAGAAAACCCATGAAAATATTACGTATAATTTATTATCCAGATTCTTCATTGACTCAACAGAAAGTACATAGACTTTTGTATGGTCGTCTACAACTAAAGATGTAACAAAGCTAAATTATGTATAAATGACGTCATCCTACGTACAGAGTATATGAAAAGCTGCCCGCAGGTTGAGTTGAACTTCTCATGAATAAAGAATGGTTCAAACAAAAAATAAATTATGCAAATGCACATCTATACGCAAATTTTCATGGCATGCAATAACATAGGCCTTACTTGATATTCTTTCAGCCGTCACAAGAAGCCACAGATAGAAGACTACGCTGCATGAGAAGGCTCAGATTGATACGTATTCATGCAGATAAGCTTGTATAATGTACGTAGTGTGCTAGCATGTTATAACACTAGCCTTATATCATTTCAGAGAGAAACAGAAGACTACGCAGTGAGGGAGGCTTGAGGTGGAAAAGATGAGCCACAACCTGACCAACGTGTCGCTGGGGCGAACCGGACGGATCCAGACCAGCCCGAGCTGAGTCCGACCGACGTCACCATGCAGCTCATCTTCGGCTCCATGATGCTCGTCTTCGGGCTGATCGGAGTCGTCGGGAACGTCGTCGCCTTGTACGCGTTTTGCAGGTGAGGTTTATAATTTGTGTGGCGTAACGGCAGAGTGCTCGACTCGGCACCAAGAGGTCCCGGGTTCGAGTCCTGACATGCCACCGATCTTGTGCCCTTGGGAAAGGCACTTTACGCGACTTTCCTCACTTAACTCAAGTAAAAATGAGTATTGTCATGTCCTGTATTTGTACTCTGTGTTGGTGGCGGCATAAAATAAGTTGATATAACTTGATCGTGCCGTCGCCATGTTTGGTCATGAAATGTTGCAATATAAAAAAAAATCGTAAATTGAATTGGTGGGGTTTACTTGTATAGTATTGCGGTAGTATTGTTTTAGGTGGTTGGGTGGCGTGTTTGTGTGTCTGTTTGTCCAGACAGATGCGGTTGATAGCACGTGGGTTAGGAAGATTGACAAGCATGATAACAGGAGGCCAATTGGTCAGATGCGGGAAATGGGGTATCTCCAAATCGTTTTTTTTTCTGCAGTAGGTTGACAGCTCGTAGGTTGGGGAGATTGGCAGGCAGTGTGACAAATAAAAAAAATCAGACACTCGGGTGGACTTCAGAGTCACGAAAGCTCCAAATACTTACTTCCCCGGACGGCTGAAATCTTGTCCTAAGTCCTTATTGCATTAGAAATTGGAACCATGGCTCGCGGCAAACGAAACGTTCTTTTGAGAAACTGGAAACGTGATTACACAACAGAATCAAAATCTTAAGAGGAAAATCGGTGAACTTGATATTCTAAAAATGTTAAAATGTTGAAACAGAAGCTATCGGGCATGTTAATTATACTTGAGTTTGTAGACATTAAAAGATTTAAAAAGAACTTCACACCGGCTTAGATCTCTTGGTACAAACGCGTCTTTAAGCCTAGCTTCAATCTGCGGGGTTAAAAGCTATCATCAAAGTTCCTACTTTAAAACCTTTTTTCGCCTACTAGTGAGCGGCTAAAACGTCGTGTCTAACAACGCGGCTAAACACCCTCCTTACCACACTGAAAGCGTGACCAGAAACCTCGTTACGAACAGCGTGGCTAATATTAGAAGCCTCTCTTGTTACCGACAGTGCGGCTAAAAACCTCCCTTGTTACTGAAAGTGCGTCTGAAAACCTCCCTTGTTCCTAAAGCGTGGCCTTCTTGTCACCAGCAGCGTGGCCAATATTAAAAGCCTTCCTTGTCACCGACAGTGCAGCTAAAAACCTCCCTTGTTACTGAAAGTTCGACGGAAAATCTCGTCACCACAACGCGGCTGTTAATACTGTAATGATGTCTATAATACTGACAGTGCGGCTAAAAGGCTCTCTTGTCACCGACAGCGCAGCCAACCGGCATATCGCCCTGTCCAAAAATCATTACCAGATGTACTTGGCATTTACCATCATTGGTAAATCACACCTCGTTTTTCCATTTTTTTGTGCAAAATAGCCAATTATTTAAGACAGAAGCCAGCCCTCTGTGACTTGCCTGCTGACGTCATGAAAGTAAATACAATCATTGCAAAAGAAATTGCAACTCCGATTTTTGTAACGTAGATCTGACCAATTACGGACAAGACCAGATAAAAAGATTTTTTGTCTCACGATGCCATGCTGAGTGATAATAAGATTTGTCTGAACGTTTGAAAATCTGAATTGAAACGCATCGTGAGTCGGCTCGGATTGAAGCTATCTTCGGGTTACGTTGCATGAAAGAAAGAAAACGTTGCTGAATGTAGCATTGAATATCACGAAATATGACTCTCTGTTACACCTCATATTTCAGTATGTTCTTCATAATGCAGGCCGAAACTGTTCATTTCGTCACCATGGCAACACAAGCAAACAGTCATGAGTTTTAAGACAAGAAGCGAGACGTGCACGAATAACTTAAAAACAAAAGTTCAGCAACGGAATATAAAATACATGCATTGATATGCAGGGGTCACTCCACAAAAAGTGGGGCTTACCAATAACGTTTAATACTGATGGCGTTTATCGCCAAAAGAAACTATTACTTCTATCTGACACTTTTTGTATTGAACAACATAGAAGGTACAAGGCACAGTGGTGAATATACAACTCTGGCAAATCGCTAATTTAGGCTCACTACTGCAAAGCAGAATACACTGACAAGGCAACAACACATAGCAAAGTAGCAAATGTGTGTTCCAAATACAAAGATAACATGTAAAATACGAGTTATTCTATAAAATTTTTTGTTTTTTTTTTGTATCTGACATTCATCATCATTCGTAAATCCCACTTTATATGTCATGATATGCCTTAAGTCGTTCTTGGATTTTAAAGTCTTGTTCCACATTTTAAATCTTACTGTGGTTTTAATAAGATACAACATGAAATTTGAATAACTTGACATAAAATGTTGCATCCCTACTCCCAGAACTCGCAGTCTCAGAAGACCGAAGAACTACCTGGTTGCTAACCTGTGTATGACGGACATGTTCGTGTGCCTGGTGTACTGTCCCATCATCGTTACCAGGAGCTTCAGTCACGGGTATGTACATGTACTCCACTTTGCCTTTAAAGCGATATTATGTAAGATTTCCAGTGTTTTAAACATTGTTGTTTTACACAGTTTCTTGAGCTATAAGCCTACCTGGGTTCGTAATGACATTTGGGGAGTAAAAGACCAACGTCGTTGCGCCGCTAAAACGTGTTGGAAAACCGCCAACTAGGGGAATCGCGGCCATGTTGTTTGTTTACATTATATTATTTTTAGGAGCCTCCTAAAATACAGTGGGCCCGTCGCAACTTATTCTTGCGCTGCGCTGAGTCGCCGGAAAAGCGAAAAAAAGGAAACTAGAATTGAGCTGGAGAATAAAACTAAATAGGGAATGAATGGCAAAAAAAATGCAAGAAATACCCAAAATATTTGACAAACGGAACCATCTAAGCGACGATTAACGGATATTCGTAGACACATCATAATCAAGCTTTTTTTTAAATGTATTGTCACTGAATAAACTGTCTGAGATAAGCATAACATATTGAGTCCACGTAATGGCCTGACAAATTGGCCACAAAGCGGTTTCCTGTCAATTAAGGAATCCCCTTTGATAACGGAGTAGCGTCTTTACAAAGGACAAGATAGCGAGTTTGTCGCTGTATGAAAAGTGGGACTTACCAATCATACTAAATGCCGTTTAAGCCTAAATGTTTGATTTCGGAGATGAGCGCCACCAGTATTAATTTTCTGTGGTAATTAATTGCTTTTGGTAAGTCCCACTTTTTGGGGATTTCTAGTTCCAGGTAATATTTTATCTCTGACTGTGCCTCATAGCCTGGTAGCTTAAACAGGCTCGTTTCCAATATGGTTGCTAAAAACATCAAGAGCAACCTTTCATACAGCATATGCATAATGGGTAAATCCTACTTTTAGTCGCTCAGTACCTATCATAAAATGCATACGTGCAAAGTATAATTTTAAGCTGTAAATGATTATTCCTTCATCTAACTATACTATGACGAACATCTTGCAATTTTTCTTCAATTGCAAACGTAGTGTACTCGTTTTTTGACAGATTTCCTTCCAAGGAAAGCTGTGTTGTAGAGGGTTTTGTGGTGGGAGTCGGCAGCATTGCCAGCATCTGCAGCCTAGCCGCCATTGCTGTGGAACGGTATCTCACCATCACCCAGCCGTTCAAATCTCTGACGATCTTAACCCAGCGAACACTTCTTGGCGCAGTTTTAACCGTGTGGGTCTACGCGCTTCTCCTTGCATTTCCACCGCTTGTCGGCTGGGGGCGCTACGTACGAGAGGAGACGTACGTCAGTTGCACCTTCGACTACCTGTCCACGGATGACGCCACAAGAGCGTATGTAACCACGCTTGTGATTGGTGCGTTTGGATTCCCGCTCCTCACGATAGCCTATTGCTACATCCGTGTCTTCACGACCGCCAGGAAGCACGCAAAGGAGAGGAAATTCATCTCACCCCTTCGAAAGCCAGAGGTAAGATCTGAGATCAAAACCGCCGTGAACGCTTGCGTCATAACGACGTCATTCTGCCTTTGCTGGTGTCCCTACGCTGTCGTAGCTACCCTGGGCATCAGTGGGTACTACCAGGCTCAAAACCAGGCTGTCTTCGCCGCAGCTCTGCTTGCTAAGTTGTCCGTCCTTTTCAACCCTATTGTTTACGTCTTGTCCATCCCAAATTTCCGCAAGGCCCTTTTTGCACAAGAACGGGAAAAACACACGCATGAAGATCTGGCACTGACCTCACCACCAGCAAACAAACGTGCGATCAAAAAGGTAGAAGGAAGTCCAAGCAGCGTCAGCAACGTCTACGCTGATCATGAATCTAACGAATGGGCTATGTCTTACTCAACCTCGCGTGAGACATGCTTGCTGAGCCGGGCTGCCTCAAAGCGTCTGGCGGGAAAAACGAAGTCGATCGTGGATCTCGTGAATGAATTCGGACTTCAACAGACAGCATTGTGTAAGGAAAGTTTGGTGTGAGAGGTTCTGTGAGCAGACGGTTGGTAAAATAAGTGACATCATCATCAGCTCTGTATACCGCCTCTGTAATCTACCTCGCTCGCTACGCTCACTCGGCGGTTTTCTTCGTTGGTTGTAGCAGCTGACAAGGCTTTATCACATCATAAACACCGAGGATCAGGCGGGTCATTGAACCTTAATTAATTTAGCTATATGTGTATATTTAACGTGTTTCTAGAGTCGTGGTGCCCGACATCAGTCATTGCTACCTGTGTAGTCCACTGTATTGCGATGCTGCAATTCCAATAAATAAATAAATGAAAAGACAGATTATCATTAGGGATCAATTTAGTAATATGTGTATGCTTAATGTATTTGTTGAACCATGGTGCCCGGTATCAGCCATTGCTCTCTATGTGTAGTCCACTGTATTGCGATTCTGCACTTCCATGAGCTAATTGAAAATGCAGCTGACCAGAATCTACTGAAAGTCCTTCGTCTATACTTTGCCAGAAAGAGACGAAGAGGTGATTATTGGACCAAAACATTTGGACCCAGTCCTGTTCTGTTCTGTTCTGTTCTATCAACCAGTGTTTCCAGTAACGTCATTTGTATGTCGTGCATGTATGTATATTGATACCGTTATGTTGGTCATCGCCGAAAAACGACGGAGGAAAAATATGCTTTCGTGTTTTGCTTGGTGTTCCGAAAAGCTAGAATCAATTGTTCGTTTAATATTTATGTCGCTTAAAATGAATAATTGCTTGTAATGTGACTCTGAATCTTATGTATTTTGAAATAGTCTATTTATTAGTGGCAACTCTGTGATGTAGAAATATGAATAAAGAGAATTTGATGTTGTTTCTCAAAGAGTGTATCTTCTCTTCGTCGTCTGAAACGCATTTCTTTTTTTTCTGGGTTGCAGAGGACATATTTCATGAAATTGCATGGATATGTATCGCTTAATATCAAATGAACATCTCATCAGCACCACACAGCGACATGTACCTACATTACACCTAGATATTTATTTTGTTTTATTATCAGGAACCTGTTTTATGTATTTGAAGTACTCGTTGCACATGAATGAAGTTATCAATGATAACTTATCTTGGAAGAATGGAAACCATAGATAGATAACAGATGACAAGGAGTTGAAAAACATATATTTTATTATATCTTATTTTAATGATAGGACTGAATTAGAGATTAACTTGCACTGATTCGTTACACATTTCCGTGCTTGTTTTATTGACCGTCACATTAAACAAGGTAGAATATATCACAGTTCAATTTTTCGTTGCATAATACATATTTTGACCAGTCGCAATAGTATCTAATACAAATTCATAATTTATTACTTCTTAAGAACACATATCACAGCATTAGGCTATGACTGGTCACTGACTTCCAATGTAATACGCAAAACAAGAAATCGAAGACTTCAGACTTCTGGGAACATAAAGTTCATACGCCCCCCCCCCACGCAAAACCAGTGCCGAGCCAACAATACATCACGAAAGAAATATTAACTGAATTAGACGTAACATTTAGCGGTTTCTCATACCCAGCTTTCTTTCTGTCCATATTCTGTTGCGAGATCAACAATTGACTTCGTTCTCCCTGCCAGTCTTTTAGAGGCTGCAGAACTTAGCGGACTGGCGATGTTGGAAACCGAGTAAAACACAGTCAGTTGGTGGTATTCACTTTGCGTGCCGCTACCGTCATCCCGCTTTTTCCAGCGTCTTTTCTCTGAAGAGGAATCATTCCCCAACCCTTCCGATGTGTTGTTTGTCCGTTTGTTGTGCCCGAAAAGGGCCTGGCGGAAACTAGGGATGGAAAAGACGTATGCAACCGGGTTTATGAGGACAGACAGCTTGGCAAGCATGGCGGCTCCGAATACGATTGTGTCCTGGACAGGAGAACCGCTAACGCCGATGATGGCTACAACAGTGTACGGGCACCAGCATAAACAGAACGCAGTGGTCATGATGAACGCGTTTACTGCAGTTTTGACATCAGATTTAGAGTTCTTGTAGGGGGACATCAGTCTTCTCTTTTGCGAGCACCTCTTGACGGTTGTGAAGACACGGATGTAGCAATAGGCTATGGTGAGGAGGGGGAGTCCAAACGCACCAATCACAAGCGTCATGACATACGCTCTATTAGCGGCGTCTGTGGATAGGTAGTCGAACGAACAGCTCAGATCGGTCACTTCTCGTACGTAGCGCCCCCATCCGAAAAACGGTGGAACGACAAGGGCTACGGCGTAGACCCATACGGCTGCGACTGCGCCGAGTAACGTCCGTTTAGTGAGGATAGTGAGGGATTTCATGGGTTGGGTGATGCTGAAGAAACGTTCCACGGCGATGGCGACCAGACTAGCGACAGACGCGATGCTCCCCATTCCGACTACAAAGCCCTCCATTCTGCAGGCCGCGTCGGTCGGGACACTGTAAAGTAACAGTCGTGTTTAACTTCCTCAACGAAATTCAATAGAAACAGTAAAAAAAAAAGATATATCGATGAAGCGTATACCTGTATGTATGATGATACCTGAATGTTATTACAGAGGAAAAGTTAGCTATATATATATCATTAAAAAATGTTACTTTTTTTAAAAGAATTCATGAAATAATTCATCCTTACCCACCTGTTACTAAAGCTACTGATGACGATGACCGGACAGTAGACTATACACATGACCAGGTCAGTCAGACACAGGTTAGCCACCACGTAGTTCTTGGGTCTCCGCAGTTTGCGAGTACTGTAGGGGCAAAAATAAGGTAAAATTTGTGAATGTGGTCAATAATGATGCATATTTATGAAGGAAAACATTGTTTTGGTTCTATTTCTTCCTCTTCTGTTCCAAACACATAAGGTCAATGACCTGGGCCAAACGTCTGTCACCATGGTAACTGGTGCTGCAACAGACATCCTGTGGTGTTGGGTTACCGACACAGGGAAGTCCTTTGGCCTAGATAGATCGGGCGGGAAAAAGGTCACCAGACGGGGTCTATGACGCGGGTTGACACGATTTGAGACTGCGCCAGCTGG